GGAGGGGGGGAGGGAAGGAAGGAGGGAAGGAAGGAGGGAAGGAAGGAGGGAAGGAGGGAAGGAGGGAAGACATTCAAATAGCTTCCTGGCAGCTTCAGGGTAGTCATTCAAATTCAAAGTTGACTCAAGTGTCAGAGAGTCTAATGCACTGAATCTCCTGATATGGCTGTTCAAAATGGAGAGATTCTTGAGCAACTAGAAGATAGCACTGTTTTAAGTTCATTGCTCTGCCCGTTCTAACACATTTATTCCCTCTCTAAGGGTTTTCAGAAAGCCACACACTCTTTTCCAATCTCACTTCAGTGCCAGTTCCTATCCTCAAACTCACAGAGAAACCCAAACACTCTCATTTTTGGTAGAATGACACCGCTCCCCTCCTCCACCTGGTTATTGTGCATCCTACATGAAGCAGGGTGATTTAACAAATGTTTGCGTGAAGCAGGGTGATTTAGCAGTGGTTTGCATGCACCAACTCACACAATCTAATGCACCAACTCACACAACAGAACCAGAGCTTCCAATTTCAGCACTGGAGCTAGGGATGCCAGCCTCCTGGTGGGGCCTGGGGATCCCCTGGAATTACAGATCATTTCCAAACTACAGAGATCAGTTTCCCTGGGAAAAAAATGGATGTTCTGGAGGGTGGACTCTATGGCGTTGTACCTCACTGAGGTCTATGTCCTCCCCAGGCTCCATCCCGAATTCTCCAGGAGTTTCCTAGCGTGGATTGGGCCACCCCTAACTTGGATTGGGCTACCCCTCCCCCACATCCCCCAGCAGTGGCCGGGGGGGACCTGGCAATCCTAACTAGGGTTATTTTAGGAGGGAAGGGGAAAAGGGAGGGGAGCGGTGGAAAGAAAGCAAATAGATGGGGAGAAAAGGAAGGAAGGAAGAGAGCAAGAGAGAAAGAAAGAGAGAGAGAGAAGGAAGGAAGGAAGGAAGGAAGGAAGGAAGGAAGGAAGGAAGGAAGGAAGGAAGGAAAGTCAAGTTGCAAGGGAAGCAGCTTGGAGGGGGGGAAGCAGCTCCCCAGCCTCTTCTCACTTCCAGCTCTCACACACCTCAACTGAAAGAGAGAGAAAGAGAGAGAGAGAGAGAGAGAGAACGAGAGCCCTCTCATGCTGACTGCAGGAGAAAGTGAGCCCAGGATCTTCTGTGCCGCTGGAGCAACATGCTCTGTGCGGCACAGGTGTTCCTAGGGCTTGCTTTCTCCTGCAGCCCAGTTTAAACTGAACTGTGGAAGAAAGAAAGCCAATGGGAGGCTACAGAAGAGCACTGGCTGTGTTGCCAGCCGAAGGCTCCCTCCTGACCTTCTCCCCACCTCCATTCTTGCCCAGCTCCCCTCCCCAACCTCCATCCTCCCAACCAACTGGCGGCCAGGCTCACTCTAATCCCGGCTCTCCTACCTCCATCACCTGGGCCTGCAGGATGGCTGGGCACAGCAGCATCAGCGAGAAGGTGGGCTTCACTGGTGGTGGCAACTCCCAGGTCATTCCACTCTGCCAGAAGATGGGCGGCCAGGAGTGGCTGCCCTCTATAGTTAGTGCAGGTGGAGGACACCCTCTACCCCTGCACTGAGAGGGAAATCGGTGTGCCCAGTGCACATAACTCAGCTTACAGGGAATTCTGGTCTGGAGATCTCCCACCATTAAACTGATCACCAGACAATACAGCTCAATTCTCCTGGAGAAAATGGCTGCTTTGGAGGGTGGATTCTATGGTAATGTACCCTGCTGAGGTCCCTCCAATCCCCAAACCCCACCCTCTGTATGCTCTGCCCACAAACTCTCCAGGTGTTTCCTAAACCAGAGCTGGCAACCCTAATAGGGATATTTATCTCCATATTTCTGCCACTACTAAAGAAGTAGTAGTAGTAGTTCATAGCAATAGCAGCAGCATAATCTCTTTAAAAATTCACATGCCTCCTTGTCCCTGCACCAGCACATGGCAACCTGCTGTGCTTCTTCAGGTCCACAATCTGTTGTCTTATAGCAGTTCAAGTCAGACGCATACAGCTGGAATTAACCATTTCAAGATAGCCAGGGACCTGTTTAGGAGTTCCCATTGTTTCAGAGAGGAATGTTGTTCCTCCCCCCTCCCATTTCCATTCTTGGATTCTATCAGGCAACCTTTTCCAAATTTACCTTCAATTTTAATAATATAAAGGCAGTTTCATTTTCAACATACATCTCAAGTACTTTTGTGCATGAGTGATTTTCAAAGTAACTTCACTGGACCACAGCTAAGTGTGAGGTACTCACTGAAACAACGTTCACAAAATCATCATCGGACAAGGTTTCTAGCATCTCAATGACAGACGTTCGGATCAACTTCAGGGTCAATCCACTGACGCTGCCGCTCCTAAATAAGAAATTTTGTTAAAGACATCAACATGTCAGTATACAGACAGTAGCTTGGATTTTATAAAACAGCTCACAGATTATTTTGATATTCCAATGAACTATTGACACATTACCTTTTTCACACATTACCTTAGAGCAGAAGGTCATCCACCTCCACATTGTACTAGGTAAGCTGCATCTATATTTTCTACTAGGAATAAGGCCCGTTGTGGAAATAAATACAATGGGAAGAGCTCTAGACAGAGGGTCTGGGAGAGTGCTCCTGCCTGCTGCCGTGGCTCGCATCCTCTGTGGTGGCGGCAGCTGGGCAAGGGTGGGCCGCATGATCTCACTTGGCTTGCGGCAGCCTGGACAGCAGCAGCAGGAGGAGTAGCCGAGCTGCCGTGCACCATCGGCATGCCAAGAGGGGCCTTGCACGAGGAGGACGGCCAGGCTGGAGCTCGGGTGCATTGTCTCTGTCCTTGGCTGCTCCCCTCGGGGCCTTTCCTCACAACTTCTTGGGAGGGCGGGGGGGGGCGGGAGAGGAAGATGTGTCTGAGAAGGACGTCCGGCAGCTGTCACAGTAGTCCAGTAAGGGCCGCCAGCGGGTGGCTTGGGCCACCACCGGTACCCCTCCTCAGAAGGGGCGTGCTGGCTGGGCGGCCCTCCTCTTTCATTCGGCTCGGGGTCAAGGGAAGGAAGGAAGTGTCGCGGTTCAACAGGTGGGGGGATCATTTACGCAGGAAGCAGGCCATGCTGGAAATGCACCCAGAGCCCACCATATGCATGGGATTGTTCCCGCGTGGTGGCTGGCCATGTGGGGAGGCAGCGGGGTAGCTGCGAGCCAGCATGAAGCAGACATAGCCCAGCAGCGGAGAGGAAGGAGGCATCAGGAAATACCCGGGGGGAGGGGACGGGAAGCCTCAGGAACTCAACTTCCAGAGTCAAATCGGGGAGACCCAGCTTCTAATCCTCAGTCCCTCGGGTGCCTCCCACCTTGACCGGGGGTAAGCAAACCCTGGCCAGTGTGGCGGGCTCCACCATCGTCTTCCCCCTCGCCCCACACCGAAAGCGACCTGCGCCCCCGGCCCAGAGCGGGATGGAGGGAGGAGGGAAGATGTTCCCGAAGATGAGCCCCCTGCAGGCGAGTGTATAGGCCATTGTATAACAATGGGCTTGGCCTGCAGCCCGAGCAATCTGCACCGTCATGATCCCTTCTCAGGTCTGCAGGCTGAGGAAGCCCATGCTGCCACCACCTCCTGGCTGGTGCAGCTTCGCCATGATGGGCCTTGGCCTTAGGACCCTCCACCCAGAGCCATCCATCAGCTCCCAGTACATTGAGGCCGAGACTCTGGGCAGCGCATCTGTAGGCGGGATGAAGGGAATGCAGCTAGTGGCCAGGGACCTGTTTCTGAATGGCAGTTCAGGCGGCCAACTGATTTTAGCGTGAATAGAACTTTGCCACCCCAAATGACAATTATATATAAGGAGAGATACATTGTTCTTACTTGAGGATTACTTCTAAAGAAATAGACTTGCAGCAATATAAAAATAATTCCCCTTTAGGAATGGCCTGCTCTCATGTTTTAGACCACACGTGTTTATTCCTTAAATATGGAAATTGTACTTAAAAAAACAACAACATTCTATTTAGCGTGTGTATTGTACTAGAAACATAGTTTACACATTGCAAAAATATACTGCAAACACTGATAAAGACACATATACACAAACTTTGTGTGAACATTTAATTGCCTTTCAAAGCACAAATTACAATCACTAAGAGGGAGGCAAAGTTGAAACGAATCGAGCTTTTCATACCCAAGACAAAGCCTTTTGTGAGAAATATCAAAACTTAGCTCTTCTCTAGCCCCTTGTCACTCCTTATAACAAAGGGAGTCCCAAGGACAGCAGTGGAAAGCTATCAGCATACAGCCCAATCCTCAGATGTTTGAATGCAGAGATCACACCTCCAATAATAAAAACCCTCAGAAACATATTTTAGTGTTAACAATGGACAATGGCAGCTGTTCGTTTATCTTAGAATCATACAACATCGTTTTCATTAATGTCAAGGAACTGGACCTCTGGCTCAATTCCTTGTTCTTTAATTAAACATCACTAGGCCGGCATTATGGATTGAAGGGAAAAATCCAGTTGCTGACATGGGAAAGTTGGCAAGTCGACTGTGTGCCTTTGAATAACAGAAACAAATGGAGCTACTAGAGCTCCTGGCCTCCCGGCGATGCTGCTGGAAGATGTGTCTGAGGAGGATGTGTCTGTGGAGGAGACCGGGGTGGCAACAGTCACCATGGCACAGCATGTTGTGACATGGGCAGGGGGTGGAGCTGACCCTGTTAAACTGCTGGGCTCTGCTCTTTCCCAGACAGTTGGAACTTGTGCTCAGTAGCTGTAGCAGCTCTGAGCACATCAGGGAGCTTTCCAAGGCCTTGCCTACTGTTCAGGTGATGGTAAGGCAGGGCTGATCTAAATTTAAAAAAACCAAAAACTCCAAAAGTGAGCAGCGGTGAGGCAGCGAAGTCTGGGAAAGGGGGCCGGAGCGGCAAAGATCCAGTTTGAGTTGTGTCCGCGGCCGTCACGCAGTCTGGATGTTGGCCGCGTTTGCAGCCGGGGCATTAGGGCCATGTCAGCTGCTTGATTTTCGGGGCCGTACCTGCATCTTGCAGCTGCAGGGCGCCCCTTGCTGGCCTCCTTCCAGGGCTGTGTCTACAGCCTGATTTACTTGGCTGTGCCGCAGCCGGATCTCGGAGCTGCGTCGGAGCTGCAGCTCTCAGGGCATCTCCCTTATAAATAAAAGCCGAATGGTGCTGGCACTTCTCTAGAACATTCCACACGCTCCAAAATCAGTTCGCTCCCCTATCTGTCATTCAGAGGGTCTCCATATCCACTGGCTGCTTTGCCTGAGTCCTGCCTCCAACATTCTAAACAGTTTGCTGTTCCTCTCCACCCCATAACCACTCTAATGGCAGAAAGTGAAGAGGACCTTAAGAGCCTCTTGCTCAGGGTCAAAGAGGAGAGCGCAAAAGTGAGCTTGAAGCTCAACATCAAAAAAACTAAGATCATGGCATCCGGCCCCATCACTCCTTGGCAAATAGAAGGGGAAGTTGTGGAAGTAGTGACAGACTTCACGTTCCTGGGATCCCAGATCACCGCAGACTATGACAGCAGCCATGAAATTAAAAGATGCCTGCTCCTTGGGAGGAAAGCGATGGTTAACCTAAACAGCATGATAAAAAGTAGAGACATCACCCTGCCAACAAAAGTCCGCATGGCCAAAGCAATGGTATTCCCAGTAGTCATGTATGGCTGCGAGAGTTGGACTATAAGGAAGGCCGAGTGCCGAAGAATAGATTCTTTTGAACTATGGTGCTGGAGAAGACTCTTGAGAGTCCCTTGGACTGCAAGAAGTTCAAATCAGTCAATCCTAAAAGAAATCAGCCCTGACTGTTCCCTGGAAGGCCAGATAATGAAACGGAAGCTCAAATACTTTGGCCACCAAATGAGAAGGGAGCACTCACTGGAGAAGACCCTGATGCTGGGAAAGATTGAAGGTCAAAGAAGACGGGGACGGCAAAGAATGAGATGGTTAGACAGTGTCATAGATGCAACGAACATGAAGTTGAGCAAACTTCAGAGGACGGCGGAAGACCAGAAGGCTTGGCGTGATCTGGTCCATGGGGTCACAAAGAGTCGGACTCGACTGTGTGACTGAACAACAAAAGTGCTACTAACCTGAAATTGGTTCAGGGGATGGAGGACTTAGGAAAATTGACAAGAAGTGTCGGGAAGATAAGGTACTTGGCCCATTCCATGCCCCACCAGTTAACAATTTGAGGGTTTCACCGTTTGGTGACTGTCACCTCATTCACTACCTGTCAGTGTTGTGAATGATGCCATAGCAGAGGAGTTACGTTCTGTTAGATACAACTCATTTTGATCAAGCCATGCAAGTGGTGCGCCAATGTGGGCAGGGGGTGGAATTGGCAAAATGTGGCATTAAGTCAGCCTTCTGTCTCCTCCCTGTCCACCCAGCTGATTTTGAGCTGTTGGGCTTTGCTTTCGAGGGCAAATTTACATGGATAGGGCCCTTCCCATGGGGTGCTCAGTATCATGTACTGATTTTGGGTGGTTCAGTTCCTTTGTGGAATGGGCATTGTGTTACAGGACAGGATTATGCAGCACTGCCCACTATCTTGATGACTTCCGGTTGGCAGGAAAGATGGGGGCCATGTGAATTTTACTGAGCTAGGAGTTCCCCTTGCCTAAGAGAAAGCGGAGGGCCCCACTCCAATTTTAACTTTTTCTGGGGATAGTGATAGACATGGTAGGGCAGCTATGTAAATTACCAGCTGACAAATTAAATGCACTGCGGACATTTATTGACACAGCCAGGGAGGAGAGGATTACCCTACTGGAGTTGCTACAGCTGGCCGGCCACCTCAGCTTTGCACGCAAAGTTGTGGCACCCGGCTGGGCATTTGTTAGGAAACTGTGTGAGTTCATGAAGGGCTTGCACCTACCGCACCATAGGACTAGGGTCACCAGGGGTATAAGAGATGACCTCCTTGTATGGAAAGAATTTTTGGATTCATACAATGGGGTGTCTTTGGAGGGATGACCTCCTGGTTGAAGCCAAGCTGCAGGTTACATATGATGTGGCAGGCTCCTCCGGCTTTGGAGTCTATTTCCGTGTGCTGAGGACTGGCTTGGGGAATGGTTTCTGGCAGGGTGGGTCAAAGACCTCACCTTCCTGGAATTTTTTCTGATTGTTGTGCCAGTGTGGAGCTGATCTTCTGAGCTCACCAACCACACTGGAGCAAAATCTGTCCACAGTACATAATTAATTCATTGACGTCCAAATTTCCTAGGGTCATGCCCCTAGTCGGAACCTTCACACTCTGGTTCGGATGCCGGTAGAGGTGTGGCAGATTGGCGGGCTGAGGCCGTCAGGGCAATAAGCTTAGTTCTCATCCTTTCCATCCGGAGAGCTTATAAAAGGGCGGGTAAGTAGTTCCTGTCCTTTAGGGAGGAAACAGTTCTGAGACAGGTCTGGCCCATAACAGTGTCCCATTTGATGCAATTCTGTGTATCACTGAGAGGTAAAGGCCTGTCAGCATGCTCCATCAGGGGTAAGCTGCCATCTCTCGCTTATGTCAGCAAGGCATCTGGGTACGAAGAGAAGACGGGAAACTTCCGTATAAGGAAGATGCTTGAAGGCTGGTCACGGGAGAGTTTTTCTGAGATGGAATTATGCCCCGTGCAGGCCTTATGCCAGTATTTAGCCATGCGGGCTGAGGGCGAAGGCTACAAGGTGCTACAAGGGATACGTGCAGGATTGCAAAGTCTAATGTTATGTTTAAGTTATTAGTGGGGTTCTTCTTTCAGGTGCTGCACTGTGATGTTGCAAACAGAGGCCGACCTTCTGATAATAAGAGCAAGGTGGCCTGGAGTGCAGATAGTCTAGTCGGCTATTTTGCTTCACCATGAAGGACAAGGCCCTGGTGCTACAAGCGGGGGCTGACCTTGCGATGATAAGAGTTAAGGTGGCCCGGAGTGCAGATAGTCTGGTCGGCTACTCTGCTCCACCAGGTATGGTGCAATTTGGGAGACCCCTGCTAGGCGTAAAGCCAACCGCCAGATGAGGAAGGTCATGGAGGGTGGTTTAGGGCAATTATTGCCACACCCCGACATACAGGCCGAGTTCCAGGACCTGTACAGGGCTGACGGGGTGCGTCTATCAACCAAGGGCAATGGGTTATTTTTACAGGACTTGCGGCAAGGGATTAGGTCAGCCTTGGGCTGTTAGTGGGGAGCCGAGGCCAAAGCAGAGGCTTGGCCTTGGCAGTTGCAGGTTTGTGCAGGGAAGAAAGTGGAACCAGTGCGCACCTTACGGCATTTTCCCATTAGGAAACGGAAGCTTGCCTCTTGGCTTCTGACTGTGTGGGTAGACAAAGGGGCTGGTGGAAGGCTACCCTAGTGGTGTGTGTGGATTCACACTCCAGGTTTGTTTTGTAATTTTGAATTCTGCCCCCCCCCCCCCAATACCAAGGATCCCCTGGATTGGAGATTCTTGACAATTAGCACTGTGGAATGAAAACATTTGGTAGGAAAATGAAAAGGCACATCAGTAATTCTATATCCTAAATAATATGAAACAAAATACTATTTCACTTCAAAATGTTCACTTATCAGACCTTTAATTGTTTTCTTTGTTCCAATATGTCTCTAGAGATGCACACATAACACTGCGCACATAAAATAATCCATATGCAGGAAGAATAAATAATGCATGAGCAATACTAAGATGGACAGAAAGCAGCTGCCAAATCAGTGGTGCTGAACCTGACTGAGGGATTTGGCATACAATTCCAAGCCCACAAAGAACTCTTCTTCCCTCAGATTCCAAACCAGGTTTATCACACACACTACTAAGTGCCTATTCCTGAGGGCCCAACAGAAGGGTACAGTTCTACTCAATTTCCTTTTTTTTTACTGAAAGCAGCCCTGGAAGCTGCAAGTTCCAGTGGAGAAATAGGCAGGGAATGGAAAGAGTTCCTTAACCCTTTCCCTCTTAGCTGTTTTGTTTCTCAACATAGGCCATGGGTGTTTTTGCACTACTGGCAAACAGGGTCCGTTAACAGTATTTTTCTTTTCCTGAGATGAAAAGCAGCCAGTAGAATAATGCTGACAGGGAAACAGATGGAATGGAAAAGGATAACAGGACTCATTCCTCCCCTTACATTTTCTTGTAATTTCTGAGACTGCTTCTGTTTTTTTCTTCTTCAGAAGTTGGGGGAAAATGACAACATAGACAGACAGACAGACAGACAGACAGACAGACAGACAAGCATTCAATTTGTTTCTGCAGGAACTCAGATGCTAACAAGACACTTCCATAAAAATAATTTTTGTCAGTCCTCCTCTTCCTAATTTAAAAACCTTTCACAGCAGTTCTTTTGAACTTTCTCCCCCCTCCCTCTCACATGAATGTCTAACTTGGGTCACTTACGCATCCACTAGAATGAGCATATCCTTGGGAGATGCAGCTCCCTGGATGTACCTGAAAAGGGGGGAAATTATGAAAGATGGAATTTTAAAAAAATGTCATGTTAGTGTTTGATCTCTAGAACTTAAGATGTCAAAAAACAGACAGAGCCAAAACAGCCTTCTTGTATCCCAGGAAACAAGCATACACATGCACAAATTTGTTAACATTCTTTTTTCTCACTAAACCAAGGGTCAGAAGAAACTGAAGTTGTTTCAGTATACTCAGACTTGGATGACACAAGGCCAAAGGGGATTTCATAAATACATACATACATAGACCTTTATTGGCATAACACAGCAGCAAGATTTCATAAATAATAGAGATTCTTATGTCAACTTTTCTAAGCAATGTATGCCAATAGGTCACCTGAAGCTAGGCAGACAATGCCACAAACATGCATATCCATACATAGTTATCTCTGAGGTCTCTTGCACACAAGCTACCAAACACATTGACCGATTTCCCATAAGCAGCTGCACTGCCCTCGCTCTTCCCTTTCCCCGGATTGTATTTGTCAGTTTCCCACTACTTGCTGTGCAGCCACATTTTGACCCGCAGCACCCCCTGATTTCCCCCGCACCTTCTAGATCCTTGTTTTTTGAGACTGAGAAGATGTGGGGGAAATCAGGGGGTGCTGCAGGTCAAAATGTGAATGTGCAGCAAGTAGTGGGAAATTGACAAATACAATGGGGGGAGGAAAGAGCAAGGGCGGTGCAGCTGCTTGTGGGAAATCGGTCATTGTGTTCTTCCTTTTGTACAAGTATGGAACAGTTGTAAAGACTTTGGGTTGAAACCAAACCATGGTCGTCTTCTACATTTCCACGGGCACAAACGTTTCTGCTCATGAAATGTGATTTTCCCACCTTACCCCTACAACAGGGACTCCTAGGAGGTCTCTTTTCTTCCTAGAACATGGGGGGGGGGGCATTCTGGGATGATGCACCAGCAATAATGTCATCTGGATCCTAGACTACCCTTAGCTTTTATAAACAACAATATTATTTTCACAGTTGTTGGGACTACATTCTCATACAGCCTTAAATTATGTTGATGAGTATCAAAGAATAACATGTTTTCAAAGCCATACTATTGGTATGATAATTCTTACCATGATATGCCAAAAAAGGAACCTAGTGTAAATCGATCCATAGTTTTTAAACTAACCACTGTGCTTGTACCTAATGAGTTCTTAATTAAACCTTTTTTTAAAAAAGAAGGCTCTTCGTATTTGAAGTTATCTGAAATAGTTTTTCAAGAAACATAGAGGGATGAGCTACATAAAAATGAGGGTAAATGTTTTGCCTGGCTCATAATTCCTTACCATGGTCTTCTACGAACATCATACAGATCTATCTTGTTCTGAGTTCGACTTTTGTCTACCCACGGGGAAGCTGAAATATGAAAAAGAAACAGGTTTATAACACCACTTTATTCTTTAAATACTAAGTTCAAAGTATTCTCATCTCAATTGTTAAATATCACAATCACTTTAAACACCTATAGTTTGCACTGGTGGATCTTTGGCCTTCAGTAACTAAAAATGGCACATGGTTGCCCAACCATGTGCCATTTTTAGTTACTGAAGGCCAAAGATCCCCCCCACTGACAAATTCATGGAGCATTGGACTATCATAGAAATAAGGGCTGAACAGAATACCTATGTTTTACCTATATATACCAGATAGTAAGAAACACCAATAGGGAAGGGCTCCGGTTTTCATGTTATCCTGAGGTAGCTAATTTACTGCTGCCATAAAGGAAATGCTGTGGTAAATGGACCTTTGACCTGGATTATCTTAGCTGAACATGCAGTTCAGTGTATCAGCACTTGAGAACAGCAGAGTCTATGGAACTGTGCAGCCTTGTCGGTGTTTGCAAAGGAAGCTCAGAAAACAAGCTCCCCTGTGATTCCAACCCCTCATGAACCCCTCCCATTCTTCTGATATTACTTGATAGCAGCAACACAAAGGTGACAGTAGAAACAAGATCTCTTCTTCATCCTCTCTCTCTCTCTCTTCCTCCCATCAGCAAAACCAGCATCCCAGGCACATAGAGTCTAGGGAAACATTAACTCTCTAGGGGGCTGGGGTCCATGCCGTTGGGTGGAGAATATTTTCCAGGACTCCTTCGGCCTAGGACATGGCTTTTGCAGATTGGTGGTAGGAAACGGAGAACAGAGAGGAGATTTTACCTCCTGCTGCTGTCCCACCACAAAGCGGAACTGGGAAAAATGAAAAAAAGTGACTGGGAAGAGAGGGCTGGTGGTGGAACCCTTCCCCATTGAAGTTGATTTGAGCCTGGGTTCAAATACAAAAGAATCTGGGTTTGACTAATTGAGGTGAGCCAATATGAGTGGGCTGACTTTATATGTCAGCATGTAGCCAGACCTCATTTCTGCCCCTTGCACCACCCCTGAAGCTCTGCCTGGCATCTGTAGTCACAGGGTGCTTGTAAAGATAAAATGAAGGACTCTAGGGCCAGCACCCCGTGTTCTGTACCTCAGCGCCAACTGCAGCCGCCTGTGTATAGCAACTTCTCTCCTGGACTCGGATCACTTCACTGGTTCCAGCATGTGATTCAAGGAGCCAGTCACAAAGTCCCTGTGTTTCTCTATTCTGCTCAAGGAAGCTTACTATACATGCGATTAAAGAAACAGAGAATCTAAAAACCACAATTTAAAGAAGATTGCAAAAACATACTCTATAATACCAAACTCACTGTCCTGTCCAGTCCTAACATTAGTGGATATTCATAATATAGTGGACTGTATTAACAATCAGCAAAAGTTCTGTGAAATAGTTTGGGACAAATGTTCTCTGGCCTCAGACTGGGAGCTGGCACTTTAAATCTAGGGTCCACTCCCCAAAAATGTTTTCTTCAGCCTTCTCACTGTGCTCCCCTCCCAGGCCTTCTAACCCAACTCAGTCCCCAGAGCTTGCCTCACCTTCTCTGGGTAAATCCTGTACCCCTCAGTTATTAGTGCACTCTTCTCTTGCCCTTCCCAAAGCTTTTGCTGCTATAGCTGCCTCCCATCCGACAGCTGACAGCTTAGAGCCTCTTCACTGATCCCAGCTGTATCTTTTCTATGAGAAAATTAATTGGCATGGGAGCAATCAGTCTTTAACTCTGGTCCTATAAATAATTGCCTCAGGTGAAGTGAATCTGCTTCTTGTGTTAACAAAGGCACATTAGTGGGCTCAGGCTCCCAATCTTTCCTTTTCCTCCATTATCTATGTGATTAGATCCTTGTAAGGGTTGTGGTTTTTTAAAAAAAACTATTTACCCATACCGGGGCAGAGTAATACCCTAGGGCAATAAATGAAAGGTAAAGGAACATCTAGGGTTTCTGCTAAATCTTGATCTGAAGTATTTTGGTAGATTGCCAAGTTCTTCTGGAGTAGAATGTCTGAACCTTTCTTTCTTTACTTCTAAGATTCTCCCTCAGAGGTGCTTTTATAAGCCATCTCTAGCACCTCTAGTCCCTTCAAAGTCGATCTTGAGTAGGACACAGGAAAAATGGGAAACTCCCCACTAGTTCTGAGAAAGCAGAATTTTGGGTCCATAATAAATCTGCAAATTATCCACTACCGGTTAATTCTGAATCTATAAGTTAACCTACTTTACAGGGGAAAGCAAGTCATGGGGAAAATAAGCTATCTTCAAGTGCCCTTAGTGAACTTTCCCCAGAACATAAAAGGACTAAACTGAAGCTATCGTGCTTTGGTCACATTATGACTAGACAAGAGTCATAGGAGAAGACAATAATGCTAGGAAAAGTTGAAGGCATCAGGAAAAGAGGAAGATGAAATAGATTTACTTACTCAAGGAAACCACAGCCCTCAGTTTGCAAGACCTGAGCATGGCTATTAACGATAGGACATTCTGGAGGTCCTTAATTTATTGGGTTGCCATAAGTCCCCTCATTCTACATCTCATGAATCTGAGGACTGTGAGGTCCGCATGTGAGGGTCCTGTCTATACAGCCTTTCTGGAGAGGCTAGGGAACTGAGCCATTAGTAAAAAGGCAGGAGGGTTATAGGGTGGCAAGTAGTGCCTTAATATTCAGACTAGCACACATGCATTAAACTTGCTCTTAAGTTTGCAACTCTGCTACCCAGTGTGTCCTCTCCTGGAGACTGGTTTAGAATTGTACTGTAGACTTGCATTTTATTTGCTCATGATTATACATTGCCTGGCCATGCATTATGCAATAATGCCTTCCAATAAACCACTTAATTAATATCATATCATATCAACATATCAACACTGTGAAGTCTGTGTCTTCCTACATGAACATGAACAAATCTTTCTTAAAGTGACCCACATAATTACATGCAAAAAGTCAGCCAGCTATTATATATTATATACAATATAAGGAAAATGTACTTAACCATTTCATTCAGAGGAAACCCATATATATTGACATTTACTGCCGCAATCCATCTCTGTAGTGAAGCAAAATTGTAAATTAAATCATACCCACCCTGCAATCTATTTCATCTGTTTCCAAGACCAACCTGTGTGTTCATGTTCATGGTTTACACCAGTGAAACTGTAATCTATTTCTTGGAGACCTGCGGTTCGCCCAGGGGTCTTTAGGGGCCGGAGCCAACACAAATGGTGGCAGCAGCAATCCCCACCCCCAGCTCCCTGCACCAAAGCGCTGGGGCCGCGGGGAGGCACGGAGAGCCCCGCAGCTGGTTTTCCTGTGCCCGTGCCGAAGCGCTTGGGCTGGGAGGAGGCCCGGAAAGCCCCGCCACCAAATTCCCCGGGCCTGCACAGAAGCGCTGGGGCCGGGGGGAGGCCCGGAGAGCCCCGCAGCCAGGTCCCTGGGCCCGCGCAGAAGTGCTGCAGCTCGGGAGAGGCCTGGAGAGCACTGCCGCAGGTGCCACAACAGTTTTACTTCCACATCATTCACTCTTTTCTTTTTCTATTTCCCTTCCCTTCTCTTCCTTCCTTCCTCTCTTTTCCTCCTTTCCTTCTCTTTCATTCCCTCCTTCTTCCCTTCTCTCTTTCTTTCTTTCTTTCCATCCTTCTTTCCTTCTCTTTCTTTCCTTCTCTCTTTCTTTCCCTCTTTCCTTCTCTCTACTCTCTCGCTTTCCTTCCCTCTTTCCTCCTTCTGTGGCCCAACTCTAGTGAGAAGGGGTTTAAACTTTAAACCCCTTCTCTCTTCGCTCCCCCCCACACAGTCCAGCTGGGGAAAGGAAGGGGAGGCTTTTGAAGATGCCTCCCCCCCTTTGCTTCCCCTTCTGGCATCACTTCTGGTGATGCCAGAGGGCGTGGCATATGCTAATAGCCTATTAGTTCATTAGCATACCATATGCTAATGAGCTCCTGCAGCTCTTTTTCTAAGAAAAGACCCCTGGGTTTGCCAAAGTAAGAATGCTATACCCAGCTTTAAACACTCTGATGAGACATTGTGAATTAGGAGGTAAATACATTCTGTTATGAACGTGTCCTGTAATTAGTGGAGACTGAGTATATCTTTTTATTGATTCTTATATATGTGATTTCTGGGGTGTCAATACAGTAGATAATTTACATGCTTTATGTAGGACCACTTGAAGGAAAGGATTATCAGCTCTTGAAAAGGTAACTTGAAACGCTATCGAATGTCAGTACAGATTTGGTTTTGCTGATGCTTTGAAAGCTTGAAGATCAACAGACTGCAGTTACTTGATTAATTTAAGGAGGACTCTTTGAATAAGTTTGGAATATTATGGATTACTTAAAATTGTTCCATGTCCTTCTCTGGATACTAACGTGATTAAATAGGGGACTTTAACTTTTTATTTTTTCAAGATGGACATACTTCTATGATTTTATTATTAGGGTGATACATAAACATTTATATTGTTATTATTGTACTTTAAACACTAAGATGATTCAGCACTTTATTCATTAAAATATATACATACAACATTTGGTAAATAATTTGATTCACTGCTAGTTCTGCCACAGTAATTATTCTATTGTGTTACACTCCAATGGCATGACGTTGTGCCAGAGTGCCCTATTCCTCCCCCCCCCCCTCAATTCCAGCTGATCTTGGAAACACCAGTGGGTCAGGAAGTGGCATGTCTAGTCTACAAACAACTCACCACCACATTGTTTGGGTATTATCAGATTTATTTGTCTTTTCTACCTCCCCCCCTTCCTCTTTGCTTGTGGATCTTTGGAAGCTGCAATAATAATGTAGTTTTCTCTAGAGCAACAGTATCTCATGCTGAGAGCTTGAGCTTATTTAATATATTTAAAATATTTCAGTCCTTCTACTCCATACTGTCATAATGGTTTACTAAAATTATTTTTATAAAATCATACAAAAGTCATTAAAACAATTTAAAAAACCATTCTCCTATACTTGCCAAAAGGTTGGGCACCACTATCT